ACCAAATCGCATCCCGGCCCGACCCCCCCCATCGCGACATGCTGTAAAGCGTCAAGTTGGTCCACAACAGACGGGGGCAGATCACAACGACCAACCACAGAGGAGCCATATCCGCGACAAACGGCACTCTTAAGAGAGAGTAATCCATCCGAAAACGGCACACAGGAAACGGTCTGCCGGGACCCGGCAGGTAAGGCAACGTGTCTAGTATGAAACTGAAACACACCACGCTCGATGTATTCGGGGATAAGTCGACGGGTATTCTTATCAGAGGGATCAACATGATCTTCAATCTTGGTCCAATGGCCTCCCTTGAGAAACCAAGACGATCTGAGGAGACCGGGCTCGGCCGTTCTCATCATTTTGGGTTCCTTAATCACGAGGAAGCGTCCTTTCTCATGATCATGCCACCCAGGCTTCCCAGAACCTCCCGCGACATAAAGCTCAGGGGGAAGAATGGGAGTTTGAGTATGAGTAAAGTACGGTATACCATCCTCTGAAACAGAAGGAAGGCGCTTGCACGACAGGTCATTGGTAGATCTAGAGAGCTCCAATGCCTGAGGTGACCGTAGGAACTCAGGTGTCACAATGTTGATAAGCGAAGTGACAGACTTCCACTTTCTTGCATCATCATACCCCTTAGTGTAGATGTCGGCTGCCATTTTGCCAGTGATTTCATAGACCAGTGCAATATGGTCAGCCTGGAATATCTCATGCAACCAAGCCACAGAGACCCCATGGGTCCTCTCCAAGTATCTCATGGTGGGGTTCCGGCCGCTCCTAACCACCGATATCATAGCCTGATTGTCCTCATACAGACAAAGATTGCCCTTAGTAGAAGACAAGATATCCCATAAATCCAAAGCTGGCAGACCTATGGTCCGAACCGCCGTATCAGCAGATACGATCTCAGCTTCAGGGGTACTATGACTCACACATCCCTGTCGTTTGCTTAGGCCAGCTAGGGGAAAGCGAGTGTGAGGACCTTGAAGATTAAGATGAGCACCTGAGGTGGATCTCAGCGACTCGACGCATCCCGCGAAATCAGCATCCGCGTACAACGCCAAATGCAAGGACGACATGTCATCCCCCACCCATCCAATCATCTTATCCTCCTTGGAGTGTTGTATGAAAGATATCAACCTGAACAGCGCAGCATCATCTTCCTCCGTCCACTTCGTGATACGGCGGGCCAGGCGGTTGACTGTTCGTAATAGGTCAAATCTCGCAATCCGCGCAGCATACAGTATTTTCATCAGAACACCCGCGGCGTGTTTGGCTAGTTTGCCTTGCGGCACTGCAGACTCCCCAACCTCCGGCTTTGAGCCTCGGGAATGTCCCAGAAGGCTGGTCACATCTGCATCAGGAAAATTTGAAGTCTCCGAATGTTGCTTCACATCCGAGACGTACATGGAGCCAACGGCGTCCACCTGTTCATCGTCCTTAAAACACGGGGCCTTGCACCAGGAACAAAAGCAAACTCCATCTTTAGTTTCTAAGTTGGGAGATCTTGCCTTATGTTCACGTGTGTTCTCTACAAGGTTTGGTGTAGGCACCTTTGGAAAATCACCTTCATATCCAGCGCAATCGCGATACTTGCTGACACAATCACTAAGAAACTTAGTCATATCGTAGGTCACCGTTCTGACCTCATGACCATCGCTCATTTTCTCAGACCCATAGTGGATTTCACAGCCCAGGTAGAGACCACTATCCACTTCCGGCTCTATCTCGATGGCCTGACGCAAGAGTGACCAACCTTCCTTGAGATTCTGAGTGGGACCAGCCATCTTCAGATCATCCACATAGATAACTAGCAACAGTTTGAGCCTTTTATGGAAGTAGACTGATGGCCAATTCTCGCCCATGGGCTCGAATCCTTGTTTCTTGACTGCTTCGTCACAGTACACTTCCCAACTCGTACCAGCATCAGGATGACCGTAGATAGCATGCGTACAAAGTACGACAGGTCTTCTAAAGGAATTATACAGTTTCTTGTACTCATCTGGGATAGCTTCAGGGGGGAGCTCCATCCAACATTTACGACCAAGGAGCAAAGCTTGGAGGTAAGCCTGTATAGCATCGGCAGTCTGGCAACTGTTCCCTTTCAAACTGCCATAGAAGTCGGCCCATCTAGAAGCCTCAAACGATGCAGGTGAGCTTCCTAGATCGGAGAACACGGCAGCCTCGTTGGATTGATCAGTCATCTGATTCCCCAGACATACCCCCCTGGCCTTGAACTTACGCCTAGGATCGTCCTCATCCAAAATGTGATGTTTCTCAACCATAATGGTATGGGCCCTGGCGAAATGAATCTCCTCTCCCGTCTCGCGAGCATCCCTGGCGACATCATCCTTTTCCCTCATGGATTCAAACTCCCAGCACCTTTTGTTGAGCCCTGCCCACTCCTTCTTAGTGGCCTCGATCGCTTTAGGATTAGACAACATCTCTTTCCTACCAACCGGTCTAGAAACCAACGCCAGCCTGGAAAGAATCGCATCCAGGATTTCTTCTTCCTCTTTTGCAATCTTTTCGTTGTGTTCTTGGACTGAGGTCTCAACGCAAGGTATAGCCGGAGCTGTCCGAATCCCTGGGGTCGAACCCAGCAGGGTGCCGTGTCGCCGAGGAAGAACGAATCCTAATCTCTTCAAGATCCGCCTGGTTCCCTTCTTCGTCTGTCTGATACCGCAAGGAGTGTAACATGCGATGGTCAGCCTCTCATCGCGCGTTGGTTCTGCGCAATGCCACTTTCTACCATCAAACGTCACTGCCTTCTCGGAAGTCACAATAAGTCTTCCAAGCACCTTAGTAGGTCCGTCCTTAGTGAGTTTATCTACAGGTATAGCCTTCTCGAAGCTCCCCTTCGGATCTTCGACCCACAACTGTCCGCCTGAAA